AGCAGTGTCTGGACACGGTGGTCCCTGTGTAGCCTGAGCTGCCTCTGTTAATGAGCAGACACTGGTCTTTGTCCTCAGTTCCTGGCAGAGTCCCTCACGGTCCCTTTGGAATATGTTAATGTTTATGCTGATCAGGTAACTTGGGGCCCTAGGATGGAGAACTTCACACTTGGGGCTGGTCACCAGTTTATAGAAACTCAGGCTGCCAGGGAGAGGCCAGAGGTTGGGTTATTTTGTGACACAAGAAAAGACTTGGAGCCTCAAGTTCACTGGTAATTAGAAATTTAACAAGTTTGAGTTCTGTGAGTTTCAACAGATGACTGGATTTGGGGAGAGGGTGTGTGAAAAACCCTACATTTTATAGCCTAAGTACGGTGGGCCAGGCAGCTGGTGTGGGTGTGCAGGCTTGTGAGAGTCGGTTCCGACTGACACCGATTAGGGGTGTAGTGCCAGAATTATTTGGACAGTCGGGACACCCAGTTGCTTTTGGTGAGTGGGTTGTTGGCTGGGAATTTGCACATTTGCTGCAGGAATGGTGTTGGAAGAAGAAAACACAGCCTCCACCTCCAGTTGTGTCACCTGACAGGTCCAGGCCGTAGCCACGGGAGCCAGGCCCAGAATGGGCTGGTGCAGGACGTGGAACTGAGCTTCATTTTCCCACTTAGAGATTCAGATTTAGATACTGGGATTTAAACTCGGTCCTTACTCTTGCTAAGCAGCTACTGCACCACTGCAGCTGCTACAGCCTTTTTTTTTTTCTTTCAGTTATCAAGGTAGAATCTTAGGTTTTTGCCCAAGGCTAGCCTCAGACCAAGATCCTTCTTACCTACAACCTCATGTGTAGCCACCCTACTTAGTTGAGTTGGGGGTCTCACTAATTTTGAGGTTAGACCCAAACCATGATTCTCCTGGTCTCTGCCTCCCAAGTAGCTGGGATTTCAGCAGGCACCACTGGGCCTGGCCTTGAGCTTTATGACATTGCTGTCCGGAATGGTGTGTGTAAATCTGATATTCTTCCCTTTAGCCTTGCTGGCATGAGACAGCAGGGGTTCTAGCCCCGTCTTCTGTGCATTGAGCTGGGTCCTCCTGAAGCAGGGCTGTTGGCTGCTGAGGACCTGCCAGGGGCTACGCTGTGACTCCAGCCTCTGGGCCCAGGCCTCCGATTTGCCTCTTTCCTGTTGTGTGGCATTGGCCCTGCAGCAAGCACTGGTCCAGAGGTGTCCACAGTGGCACAGCCCATGTACTTCTCCAGTGCGCCAAGTGAATGGACCACTCTCCCCTGATCACCTGGTATCTTGTATGGCCAAAGGACAGGTAGCAGCTCAGGGTGATCAGATCACCCTTAGTAGATATTACAGTGACTATAAAATTAGTTTATTCAGTTTTTCTAGTATGTAAGGTGGTGGTGTTTTTTTCTTCTGACAGTTACAGGGCATTGAGCTGAGGGCCTTGTGCTTGCTAGACAGGCCCTCCTTATGCACCATTACCATTCTCTGACAAGTTGTCTTTGTGTGTTAGTGTGTGCGTGCGTGCGTGCGTGTGCGCGCGCACGCACGCACGTGTGCACGCACACACAGCTGGTCCTGGGGTTTGAACACAGGGCCTGGTTGCTGTCCCTGAGCTTTTGTGCTCAAGGCTATCGCTCTACGATTGAGCCACAGCTCTGTTTCCTGCTTTTTGTGAGTTAATTGCAGATAAGAGTCTCATGGACTTTGCTGCCTGGGCTGGCTTTGAACTGTGACCCTCTGATTTCAGCCTTCTGATTAGCTAAGCACTGATGAGCCACAAGTTATCTGTTAACAAAGGGTTTTCTTTGTGTGTGTGGCAGGGGAGGAGTTTTCTTTTTTTCTTGTCTCTATTTGGTACTGGGTGTGGAACCCAGGACTTCATACTTGCTAGGTAAGTCCCTTGCCACTGAGCTGTGTGTGTGTGTGTGCGTGTGTTTTCCCCTTGTTATCATATGTAGATGGGATAAGTTCCATAAGTCAGGTAATTGAGTGCCTTTCTTTCTGGACAGTGTCACCTCTTCCCCCTCTTTTTAAACATTTTATTCTTGTAAAGATTCTGTACAGAGAGGTTACAGGTATATCAGTAAGGTAATGAGTACATTTCTTTTTTTTTTTTGGTC